GTGTTGGAGAAGCAGAGACAAGCACATCCTTGGGGCTCACTGGCCAGTCAAGGCTAACTAGCGAGTCTGACTGAGAGACTTTATTTCAAAAAGAAGGTGAGCAGATCCAGTGAATGACCCCTAAGTTTTACAAACATGCACACACACACACATGCATACATGCACACGCACACACACACATACTCCCATTAAACTTGCCATTAAGCTGGATGACTTGAGTTCAGTTCAGTTGCTAAGATCTGTGTGTTAGAAAAGAACTGATACCCGTGGCTTGCCCTTTGACCTCCACATACATATGGCACACATGTGCAACACATGCACCAAAAAAAAAAAAGAGAAAGGAAGAAAGAAAGAAAGAAAGAAAGAAAAGAAAAGAAAAGAAAAGAGAAGAAAAGAAAAGTTAAAAATAAATAAGTCTATTGTTAATTAAAAAAAAAAACCAACCTCACTGCTTTGGGGATTAGAGAGATGGGTCAGTAGTTAAAAGCAGTAACTGCTCTTCTTGAAGATACTGGTTTGTAGGAGGCGCTAAGGTGGGAGGAGTAAGGAGAGGAAGAGGAGGAGTAAGGAGAGGAAGAGGAGAAGGAAGAGGAGGAGGAAGGGGAGGAAGAGGGGAAGGAAGAGGAGAAGTTAGGAGAGGGAGAGGAGACAAGAGAGGGGAACATGGAGGCAGATGTTCACGTGTCTCCCGCAGTCAAAGGTAGTTGGTATATCTACGTTGGGTATTCGGTTACACCTCTGATTGAGTGGGCATCTTGTTATTGATCATTACCAAATACGTAAGTCTTTGGATAATCTAAGCATTTAGACTCTCATTTGTCCTGAACCCACGTGGTCGGCAGGATCCTCTGGGGAATACCCAGCCTTGTGGAGACAGTGTAGAATATTGGCAGAGCCATCTCCCATGCTGGCTTCATGTGGGTGGCAGGGCTGGTGTTTCTTGCTGGCTGTTTCTAGCTGCTGTGTGCACGTGGCCTCTGGCTACAGAACAAGGCAGCTGAGCTAGGCAGAGTAGCAGCAGCTTAGATAGCCGGCTTGAGCAGCGGCCGTTTTAAATAATTACTTCAACACAGGTTTGATTCTCAGCACCCACATGGTGGTTCACAAACATCAGGAACTCCAGTACCACAGGATCCAGTACCAGAGGCCTATTCTGTCCTCTGTGGGCACCAGGCATGCATGTGGTGCACAGACATACATGCATGCAAAATACTCATACACACAAAATACAAATAAATCTCAAAAAATAGTTCTTTATGACTCAACATTTTTTCTTTGCCCTCCCCCTTTACTCTCCTTCCTTCCTTCCTTCCTTCCTTCCTTCCTTCCTTCCTTCCTTCCTTGCTTCCTTCATTTCTTTTATTTTAAATATTTCTCTACCCTCTACTCAGAAACTCTTTTTCCTCACCTTGCATTTTCCAGATGTTGGGAGATCCGTTGAAGGCTCTTGTCTATTGACCATAATATATAGCCCTGGTTCCAGCCCACAGGAAGTCCTGAAATACTGGACACAGCAGGGTAGGTCAGTGGAACTGAAGTGATAGCAAAGTACCAGAAAGCTAACCAATAAGAATAGAAAGTTAATTTAGGAATTAGACCATTGCTATCATAGTAAATGAAGTGAAAATACCAGGTATTTTATACGTTTAGCACTTACAATTAAGGTGATGTCTTAGTTAGGGTTTCTATTGTTGTGATGAAACACCATGGCCATAAAATGCTTGGGGTTAAAGAGTTTGTTTCATCTTTCAATTTTCAATTCCATACTCCATTGCAGAGGGAAGTCAGGGTAGGAACTCAGGGCAGGGATCATGAGGCTGGAGCTGACGCAGAGGCTCTGCTTACTGGCTTGCTTTCATGTCTTTCTCACCCTGCCTTCTTCTATCACCTATGACCACCAGCCTGGGGTGGCACCACCCACAGTGAGCTGGGCATTCCCACATCAATCATCAGTTAAGGCAATGCACCATAGGCTTGCCCACAGGGCAATCTGGAAGGAGTAATCTTCCAAAATGATGCCAGCTTGTATCAAGTTGACGTGAAACAGTCAGTAGGACAGTCTGAAGACAGACTCTTACCTTGTCAGATCACTTTCCAACAAGTTATTCCTGGAGTTTTTCAATTGTGAATCTGGTAATAGGAGTAAAGAAACTATTTAGCACAGTAACTACTGATATCATCTACCAGGACCCCCTTCATTTAACAGTCATGCCTGTCATGAAATTAATTAATGGCATGGAACAGCTATCAACGTTTTAAAAGTCCATACTCTCTGCTGTCTTCATCATGGACCAGAAGTGCCCCCATTAGAAGCATGGGGATGGGAACGTAGCAGTGGGAGACACAGAGATCCTGATACATCTTTTTCTTTAAAGATGTCTACCCCGAATCCATAGTAGAAGAATAAAGGTAACAGACCTCCCTTGTCAGACTCTTGGTAGGTATTCTTTGTCCATCCTCCTGACCCACCGAGTTTCTTTCCCATACTTTAGGCTTTCCATGAAAACATACAGGACACAGAAGCATGGGGAAAGGGACCATGGAGGAGTTATGGGGCTGTTTGCATGACTTTGGAAGTGAAGATGTTAGAAAGATGGCTCTACTCTAGTCACACCCTCTTTTTCAGCTTTCTTTCACATGCTATCAAAGACCAGAGTCTTAAAGCAGAAACACAGCTGATCTGACATCAGCCTTGAGCTAACAATAAGGAGTAGAGTCATTCTGACCTGTAAGTTTCTTGATCTGTTCAAGAATATGTTGTGTTGAAGTCTAGAGAAACACACAAAAAAAGAAACAAGAAAGTTAGATTTATGTTATAGATTGGAGATTTTACTGACAATATATCTCATCTTACTCATGAGATATTGATATATTTTATGTCAGGTATTAACTCAGATATCTTCTACAGTCATATCATTAGTTACTAATTTATTTGTGAATAATTTATTAAATACAATAAGGAAGCAGTGAGATGGCTCTGTAGGCAAAGATGTTTTACACCAAGCCTGAGGACCTGGGTTCCATCTCCGGGACTCACCTAGTGAGAGGAGTGAAGCAGTTTTCACAAGTTCTCCCATTTACCTCCACATGCACACTATGGCATTTGTGCATGCATGCACACACTCATACACATTATTAAAGTGTTTTTTTAAAAAATCTAAGTTCTAGATTATTATATGGCATACTGAGACTAAAGATAAATATGAATCCTGTACTCTAGAGACATGCATTAGTAAGGAAAGCAGCCACCTAAACAGATAAGATACCATGTGGGAACCAGCAAAACAGCTCAGTGGGTAAAGGTGACTGTTACCAAGCCTTGGCAACCTACATTTAACTCCTATGACCTTCAAGGGTAAATGGAAAGAACTGACTCTTGCAGGTTGTTTTCTACTTCTCTATGTCCCATGACATGCACACCTGTACACACACATCCCCCCCCATACAACACACTTTTTAAAAAATGTAGTAAATATAATAGAAATTCATCAGTGAACACAGAAGACCTTGATTAGTTTCCTTAAACAGAATGGAAGAATTACTCCATCAATTTCCATCTGAGCTATAGCTCAGAGAGTCAGCTGATTTCTGGGTAAAAAAGAACATTATAATCAAGTAAGACATCACTGAAAATGGCATATTGTCATTTTTGTGGTGGAGCATTCACCATAGAAGACTGGATAGACATGGCTTTAAGCCAACAGAAAGTCTTTATTAGCTGCTTGGCAACTACAATGAATGTTCAGGATCCCAGTATAGCCCCCAAGCCTTCTTCGGGGTGACTTTTAAGTACAAAACCCATGTTCTGGGTTGACATATTTTAGTTAACAGGAACAATTAGCCAGAAACAGAAACCAGAAAGTGAGGCTAGTACGTTTTGAGACTCCAAAACTATGGATTTTGATGGATGTGTTTTAGTTTTGGCAGGTGGTACTGTCTAGGTGCTGAGTTTTACAACCTGTATGGCACTTGCATCATGGAGTGAGTTGTGCTAAGGTCTGGAGCCCTGCTATGATTTTCAGGTGCACTTTTGCTGAGCTGTGGGAGATGGGGCTGAGAAGGTGAGAACTGGGGCATGCTTGGTGTTAGGAGTTCAATTCTATCCTATAATGTCTTCCTAGAAAGTTGTAAACTCCTGGGACTTTTCAGCAATGACCTCAGGCAGTTTAAGGGTATTATTACTGACATTTGTCACCATTAAAATAAAACAAATGGGTACTCCTTCCTTTTGCATCCGGGCATCAATATCTAACGAGCCTGGATGGCAGTTCTGGAGCATTTGGTGAGTAAGTCCATGGTTTAGTGACCCAGTTTACCACAGAGCTAAATACATCTAGTGGTCGTTTTGATAGTTTTTAACTTAGTCTATGCTTGCTTAATCATGCATTATTTAATAATATATGTTCATGATGGAACCATTAAGTAAAGATACAAAGCAAAAGAAAACTGGTATTGAAATCTCAGTTAATATGTCTACCAATGATCCTGCTGCATACGTATCTCCACGTGATCTACAAATATCACAGACCTAAGTAATCTGGAAACACCTGCACGGTGAAATACCTACAGATACTGAATAGATCGTGGCATGTTTGCAAAATGTAGAGTTTATCCTCTGTGAAAAGTAAGGTTACAATAAAAGCCAAGTTGAACACTTTTCAAAATGGAGCTCCAGAAGCTACCAGTGGAGCCTCTTCTCTTCCAGTGTTGTTGCTTAGGGAGCTTGGTCACCTCCACCCTGTACTGTGGATGTCTGAGACAAACAGATGAACAGGACAGACGACTAGAGACTTGGAACTGGTATCCGTAGGTTTTGGGGTCCTGTTTTTGTTTTTTGTTTTTGTTTTAAGATTTATTTATTTATGTTATGTATATGAGTACACTGTAGCTGTTGTGGGTTGTGGAACAGTTGGAGGATAAACAGGAGGGGTATAAAGTCTGGATTGTAAAAGAAGATTAAACAATGAATTAAAAAATAAAAAAGAAAATCATTTAAAAAGGAGAGAAAAACAGAAAAGAAGATTTATTTATTTATTCTATGTATATGAGTACACTGTAGCTGTCTTCAGTCACACCAGAAAATGGCATCAGTTCTCATTATAGATGGTTGTGAGCCATCATGTGGTTGCTGGGAATTAAACTCAGGACCTCTGGAAGAGCAGTCAGTGCTCTTAACCTCTGAGCCATCTCTCTAGTCCTTCAGCTCCTGTTTTATGGACATTTTATTAGGTATGTAGATCCCTTTCTTTTGTCTTCTATTGGTCACATGGATCCTGTTCCCCAGCACTGCACAGCCATAACTGTTTGCCCATACAAATCTCCACTTTCCCCTGCTTTCTTTAGAACATGGATTCCAAGTCTCCTGAACTTATGTTTCTTGAGTTGTTTTATATAGGATCTCAAAGAAGTTCTTTTAATTTTTTTTCTGTAAATTAACCCGTTTATTGCAGGGCAGGCAAGTCTCAGGCAGTAGGGCTTCTACTGGTCTTTCCGTTCCTTCAATCTTCTGATGGCAGACTTCACTGTGACTGCAGAGGTGGTGTTGTAGGTCCAGGCCCCACCGGCCACTGTTTTCATGCAGGAGCCACAGTGCCAGATGCCAACAGCTCATCTCTTCATCTTCGTCTTGCCATAGAAGGAGCAAGTGTACTTGGCATGCTGGCTGATTTCAATTTTCTTCACCATTTCCCGGAGGGAGGCCCCATAGTGAATCCCGTATTTCCCGACGATCCTAACCTTCTTGCGTTTAGCCATGTCGCCGGAACCGAAGCCCAAGCCCGAAGAGGAGTTCTTTTAATTTTACAGGTTCTGGTTGAATTGATTAGCATGAGAGAGAGAGAGAGAGAGAGAGAGAGAGAGAGAGAGAGAGAGAGAGACAGACATCCAGACAAGCAAAATACTGAAAAGCTACAGTGAAAACTCAGAGGCTACTTTGAAACACACTTCACTGTCAGACTGTTAAAAAGAAAAATGGGTTGGTAACAGTGTTGGCACAAAGTAATGTCCCATAAAGAGATCTCATTAAAAAAAATATCAAGATTCTTAGAGTGTCACATGCTCAGAGGACACACTGATGCTGTGAGGAGATGCTGATACAGAGATACAATTGGTCTTTTTACACCCAACATCAGAGTCAAGGAGAGCAGTCACTCCTGATGCCGGAGATAAATACAGTTCCTAAGACCACATGTGCCACGAGAGAGCCCTTCTACATCAGGGGTTCTGAACCTGTAGGTCATGACTCTTTTGGGGGTTGAAGGACCATTTTACAGGGGTCACCTAAGACCATCAGAAAACAGTTTATTTACATCATGATTCATAACAGTAGCAAAATTACAGTTGTTAAGTAGCAATGAAAATAATTTTATGATTGGGGGTCACCACAGTGTGTAAGAAACTGTAGTAAGGGTCACAGCACTAGGGAGGTTGAGAACTACTGTTCTTCATGAATCGAATGTGTGTTGCATGCCTCAGTATGTACACAGATTCTACAGGTTTATCTTTAATGTTCTCTAAAACTGCAACCTTATAGTCAAGATTGTCCCAACAGAATATCTGCCTAGTGACAGCCCTTCAACCAATATACTGATGCAAACTCATGCTTCAGATCTATGAATTTTGAGTCCAAATAGCCCACATAAATTTCTCATTCTTCTTTTAAATAGATACTTTTTTAAGTTTTCATTTTATTTTTATTTTATGTGCATGGGTGTTTTGCTTGCATGTATGCCTGTGTGAAGGAGTTGAATTTCTTGGAACTGGAGTTACAGACAGTTGTGAGCTGTCCTGTCGGTGCTGGGATTTAAACTCAGGTCCTTTAAATGAACAGCCAGTGCTCTTAACCTCTGAGCCATCATTCCAGTCCCAATTTTTCATTCTTTGCCTTTAAGAGCTCTCTTCTGTCTTGGCTTCTTTGAATCCAGCCATAATTTACTATATTATTCATATTTACCTACAGTGCTCTACTTCTCCCAAATAGACATTATTCTTTTAGGTTCTCTCATTGTCTCTCTCTCTCTCTCTCTCTCTGTCTCTCTCTCTCTCTGTCTCTGTCTCTCTCTCTGTCTCTCTCTGTCTCTGTCTCTCTCTCTCTCTCTCTCTCTCTCTCTCTCTCTCTCTCTCTCTCTCT